AAACACTGATATCGACGTGGAACAAAATAATGGGGCTCACTAGGAAAAGGAAGTTTGCCTTCAAACCTCTATGAACGTTTTAAAATAAAGCTGCTCCCTGCACTAAAATTCTACAGGCTGGCTAAGATCCAAATCTATGAAAAGAATGAAATTCCCTATTGATTTTCATAGGTTCTCAATCAGAATTGTTTAGCTTCATGGATTTCACAAAGCTCCATTACCAAAATAACATTAGCTGCCAAGACAACAGATTTATATAAGTTTACAAGTAGCTGAATAAAGATTCATGGTTACTACCAGAGTAATTTACACCAAATCCTATTGGATTTATATCTCCATTATCTCCTGCCCATTTCCATAGGAGAATGGTGGTGGTGGTGGTGGCTGTGCTTTGCAAAGAAAACTCATCTCTCCAGAACAAGAAGACACTGTTCATCTGCAACAAGAATGAACAACTCATCAGCATTTAAAAATAGAGTTTTTAAAAATGAGTTTGTATCACGAAGTCTCCTCTCATGTAGAAATTATAAGCTTTGAATTATTAGCTTGTCTCTTTTACCTCAGATGAAGCCAAACTGCCAAAGTTCAGCGCTTCCAAAGTGAAAAGGAAGACCTACATCATCCATCTAATAAAAAATTGCAATTGTGCTCTCACATGAGCTCGCTTGCTTCCTGGATGTGGGTGTTTCATCCAAGCTTCTAGGAGGACATCAAAACACATTTACATGAATATACATCACTGCTTCCGCTGGGTGATTTTAATGCATCTCACAGCTGTAAAGGAAGAGTTTTCTCAGTTTTCAAAACATTCTTTTTTAGAAAAGGTGTTATAAACTCATTCCTTTCTACGTACATCAGTAAAATTAGATCTACCTCTGAAACCCCTTATCATCCTAGCATCAGCCCGCACCTTCTTCCCATTTACCCTGTCCTAAAACTCTGATACTTTTACCTGACATTTTGTAACACATTCTGATCTTAGAGTGAACGCTCCTCTAGGTGGTAGGCATGATCCACAGCTATTCCCTCCCGATGCCATCATAAAATCAGGTGCTTCTATTACTGATTAATATTGCTGAGCTGGAAAGACCAACCGTCATGAGTTAAGAGACTCCACTGTCAAATAGGTTTCTCCTGGGTATTCCTTCCATAAGACAGGGATAACCTTGGCAACAAAACCTATACCACTGTGGCTGTTCCTCTGGTAGAAAGCATCGAGCGTAGAAACACATTTTTGGACTTGTCTCACAAAGTATTTAACTGTGTGCTCATCTGGCAGACAGTCTGCGTGGGTGAAGGTGAAAGATGCAGCCCTATCGGCTGATCTCAGGCATGTGGTCCACTAAAGAACCATCCTGCCTTGAGGGATGCCACAAGGTCTCTTGTGTGGAAAGTTTTATCAGTTAATGCTGCACAAACCAGTAATGACTTCTGATTAGGTATTATAACACATCTTTGAGCAATCAGCATAGAAAAAAACACCCCAGATTTTGCCAACAGTTTCTCCACTGCTGCACAATCCACAAATCATTCATTTCACTTCCCACAAGTATGCATTTAGCTTTTTAAAAGCATTGTATAGCAAATTATGCAGCGTTTAAGAAGACACTTGCCAGGATTGAAGGAAGAGAGAAAATACATTTTTGATCCATTGATGAGATCCAGCAATGTTCTCCCCTATTTTGGTATCTCAAAGGAAAAGCAGCATTCTCTCAGGGAATGTAACCATCAGCCAGTAAAAAATCTCATCACAAGGAGGTCTGACATAGCTGCGTCATCAGAAGAAATATGGCACAACAGGGAAGTCTCCATCTTCACCTTGAAACTCTAAAAATACACCTGTGATTAAAAGAATTTCCTTAAATCCACAGAAAAAAAGGAAATAAAACACTCCCTCCTTACATCGCTGTAAATCTAAAAAATGCTTCCTAGAGGATAACCACATAGAATCAAGGCACAAAAAATATCCTCTGATTTGGAAATTTACACAAGTTACAGGATGTCAATTGAAGTACAAGGAAATCATTATTTTTGCGGACTTTCTCTGCAACAAGTCCACCAACCTTTCCAAAATAATGAGTTATAGAAGAAAAGGTTACTGAACCTTCCAAATTCTTATTTTCTCTGCTATAATGTTACTTCTAGTTGCACAATTTCCAAACCAGAGCTTGCTCATTTCTCCAGTAGCCATCTCTCCATCTTCTGGCCCTGGTTACTGTTACACCTACAACAGCATTGATTGTCAACAAAACCAGAGTAAAAACCTCCCACTGTGATCTGCTGCCCTTTTGTTACTTATTCAGAATAATTAAAGCTGATCTGAAATACTCAAGTTCAAATAGAATTTTACACCTAAAATACCAAACATTATTTTGTTTCTTTCCCTTATGTTGCAAGACTGTCTAATGGCACTGTGCAAGACTGACACATAAAGTCTTTTTTTTACTGAGCAAAGAAGAAAGGCTGATTTGTAAGAACCAGTGAATGAAGGAAAGCTCCAGTCCTCTTTATAGTCTCATTCAGTACCACTTGCCCAAGTTCCCCAAAGATTTCACCTAAGCACTTCAATTCATGGAATTCATCAACTCCCTCAGTAAAAGCGCAGCACAAACACATCTGCTCTAAGGCAAGCAAGAGGCTAAAGGAGTTGTAGTTGTGGTGTTGTGCTTTGTTTTCTTTTCTAAAATCCTACTTAAGTCACAGAATTGTAGGGGTTGGAAGGAACCTCCATTATCAGGGCACCCACCCCATCCAGCAGCAGGTTCGTGTTGTCCCTAGTCTTCCTTTTGCCATTGAGATACTTAGAAAAGCCTTTTGTGTTGTCCTTGACCTCTCTTACCAGATTTAATTCCAAATGGGCATAAGCCTTCCTTGTTGCATCCCTGCATGTTCTGACAACGTTCCTATATTTCTCTCAAGAGGCCCCTTTTCCACATTCCATAGACTTTTCCCTTGAATTTTTCCCATGAGCTCCTTGCTCATTCATGGGTCTCCTGCAACATCTGCCCGATTTCTTACTACTAGAGATGCACAGATTTAACTTGGAAGAAGTGGTACCTGAATGCCAATCAGCTTTCTTGGGCCTCCCTACCTTCTAATGCCATGAGATGCCTCCATGTAGGTCCTTGAAGAGGTCCGGTTTGTCTCTCCTGAAGTCCAGGGTTGCAATCCTATTTTCCTCCATTAAGATCCTGAACTCCATTATCTCATGGCTGCTGCACCCAACACTGTCCCAGCCAGTCCCTCCTTGTTTGTAAGAACAAGAACCAGCAGCACACCTCTCCTCACTGGCTCCTCCACCGCCTGCATCAGAACTTTATCTCCCACGCACTGCAGGAGCCTCCTGAGCTGTGTGTGCCTGGGAGCACTGCTTTCCCAGCAGATACCAGGATGGTTGAAGCCTTCCATGAGAACCAGTGCCTATGATCCCAAAGCTACTTCCAGCTGTCTGTGATAGTCATCATAAGGAAAACCCAAGGTACAAAAAAATAAAACAAGATCAAGCACTTGAATATGTACTTTGATAAAAAGAAGGATTAGCTCAGCGTGAAGAAGTGATGAACAAAAACTAGCAATAACTACCATTTTACCCCCCAAAGCAGCTCAATATTTTAGGACAAGAATTACTGTCAGCCTCCAACCCTTCTGCTTTGGAGCATGCAGACTCAAAGCAACAATTAAATCTAAGGAAGAAGGCATCTGTTCAGAGACTATTAGCAGTTCTTTGTTTTACCAAGTGACCAATGTTTTCAAAGTATTCAGCACCTTTTCTTTTTAAATAAGGATTCTGCAAGAAGCTTATCTGCAATCAAACAAATAAATAAATAAATCCTTTACAAAAAGTATTACAAAAGTCACTTTTTCAGTTACAGTAAAAGACCACAACACAGACTTAAGAGTCTGCCCTTCAGAACCACAGGTCTTTCATTTGCTTGGTGGTTTGGGACTTTTTGTTTGCTTTTTTAAAACAAAATACTATATTTGGAGGTTCTTGTATGCATTTGGGTTTTTTTTTGCCATCATGATGAAGCTGCAAACATTTTCAAGTTTTTCTCTAATTTGATGCCAACATCAAACTGGAAAGTTGTTGGTTTTTTTGTTTTGTTTTGTTTTTTGTTTTTTTTTAATGAAAACAGAGATTCTGATGAAATGCAAGACCTGAGGTCTTTAGGAAAAACAAAATATCACAAGATTTGTCATGAAAACATGGAGCTGGCAACAACAACAGCCTCTTCATACACAGTAGTTTGCTGTTTGTAAGAGTGCTTACAAGCCTGTAAAAATATTTCAGCTCTCCAGTAAAATAAAAAATGAAGAAAAAAAAAAAAAAAAAAAGGCTCAGCTAGCATTATTACAAGTATCTGGTATTCACAAAATGAAGCATCACAAAAAGCAGCTCTTCATCAGGCAGAAAACAAACAGGACTCAACTGAAGCAACAGAAGCCACAATGATTTTCCCAAGTGATACTTTGGTACAGAATCTCAACCTGCATGTATTAAATCTGAAAGTTAGGCTGTGTTACATACCACATTTCCATGTAATCAATTGCAAAAGGAGTGCATAACTTCTACAGAGGCAACTTGCCGCTCTAATGCAAATGCCATGCCAGCTATATGGTACACTGAAGACTGTCTGAAAATGTGCCAACACCACTATTAAAAGTATGCATGCTTTTCTTCACCTAACAGCTCCTCTGTTGTGCTTTCACTTTTCTCCCAGCCCAGGTTATAGCAAATATTCAAGTTCACTGAATTTCAGCTCTTTTGGTCTCTGTTTTCCCTTTGGCTGCCTGCCCAAAGGAAATACAATCTCTGGCTCAAGATGGCCAAAAGCATGACCTGGGTAACTCTTTTTTGATTGTCTACGAGTGACTCACACATCATATGACAATGACATTGCTCAAGTGCAAACTGTCAATACTAAAGCTGTTTATACAACAAAAGCAAGGAAAACTTAAGGTTACTTCACCCCTCAGACATGCTTAAAAGATGGAGCCATTTGCCAAGTCAGCTATGAGAGAAATCTACAGTTTCTTTCTTTCTGGCCAGAGGAATAAGTCACCCACAAGCTCTAGAGCAAAAGCAGAGTCCACTATGCTGGTCTCCTTTTTTCACAGTTCAACATTTTCCTTTGTCAAGCATTGTTTTGGCATCTTCCCTTCAGCTTGGAAGAAATGGTGTTGATAAGCTCAAGCACAAGTGCCAGCTATCAAAAAGCAGGACAGCTGCTGTACTTTCCTCTTCTATGGCCCAAACTCTTCAAAAGCCCAGGATGGCAAAGGCCCCTTCAAGTATGTAGCAGCTTGGGGGTGCTCAACTGGGAGAGAACACAAGAGCAGGAAAATCATTATACTTTCCTTTATAACAGTCTCTTATATGCTCTTGCATAAGCTGTGGATCTCCGAACACCTCTCCAAAGATTCCTCTGTGCAGACACTCTTTACTTCAATAGAAGCCATGATTCATTGCTGCGTCCCTGAAGAAAGGGCTTGAAGTTATACAGAGCTGCTTTCCATGCATCCAGGAAATCAGAACTCAGGGAACTGCTGCTGCTGGGAACGCACAGCACCCATCATGCTTTCTGGAGTGATGAGACTGCCACAGCCCAGGGGTTTCTGTGAAATCTAAACGACAGCGAGGAAGACAGAGAAACAAGTGATAGAAGTTCCTTCCTCATGCTTTTCTTCACAGAGGCAAGACTATACAGAAGAGATAATCTGAGTGGTAGTTACATTCTGTCTGTCAAGACAGCATCTTCCATACTGCAGACTTGCATACTACTACTGAGCACTTTCAGAGAAACACTGCAATTCCATTATGCAATTGCTACAGTTGCCATACAGGCATCCACAGAAGAAATGTGATGTGATTTTTTTCATTACATTCTTACATCTCTTCTCTAGCCTTTCTCTTTGACATCAGCTGCAGTTCATTTACTCACTCGCCTTGATGCTTACAGTGTTGGATGTGATAGGAACAGACGAGACATTGTTTTAATACAGGAAGGTTAATCTAAAATAACCTTCCTAAGCTGTTCATACTGCGCGACAGTAACATTACAAGAGACATGGGTTCATGAATAGGATCAGCTTGCAATCCCCAGACCAGTGATAACAGCACTTGTCATGAAGATACTGTGCCTAGTCTCCAGGGGAAGTGCAGCTTCAGCTGCCACTTAACGCAGCTCCTTCTGTCAATCACTCCATGAAGCAATGCCAGCTGCTTCTTCTAAAAAAGTCATTTTCTTCACCTCCTAAAGGTAAATGCTATCATGAGAAGAGATGAAAGACAGGAAGCAATTTGCTGCAAGTATGCTCCGTAGCATCCCCATCACCTGTTAGTGTATTACAGCACCATGTGGCTCCGAATACATCTGTGTCACTGAGCAAATAAATCAGTCTTTGGAATTAGATGGATTATTATAAACCCATCATACAAGGGAGTTTTAGAAAAATAAAAATACGGATTTTTGGTCAAACATGCATGACAGGCAACAAGTATTCATTGCTAAATGAGCATATCATTCACAATACAATTTGCTTTTTTTTTTTTTTTTTGTCATCTCAGTCCATACTCCTACATGACTGATCTTTACTTTAAATGCTCCCCTTCATAGCAAGTAGGACTATAATCTCAGAGTACTAAGCAGTAAGCCTAGTCCAAAAGTTACACTGCCTTCACACATGGCAAAGAAATAGACCTCCTGAAGCTGCCATGGACTTTAAGTTCTCTTTAATCATGACTAAATCTGCCTTTTCATCAGCCTTCGTGCAGCTTCTATAAGGACAGCACTTGGGCTTGCACCACAAACCATTCCAAACCATTTTCTTGAACCCTACAATTACAGAACAGCTGAATTCCCCTTCTTCAAATTCTATGAAGTCATCGAGAGAGCAAAAAATTGTATTCTGACCTCCTAGTTAAGAGATCAGAGATCATTTGGTACCATCCTTTTCCAAAATTATTTTTGTCCCTCTAAAGCCATCTTTTAAAATGAAGTTTGTGGGTTTCATCTTTTGCAAGGCGTGGAGGCAGGAAGCTACTGTCTGCAGGAGAATATGGCAGAAGGGACAATGGTGCATATGACTGCTGTAAGTCATCACTGAAGCTCAAAGCTTCCCTAAGCCTGAAGACTTGTACTGCAGCAAAACAAACACCATAACATTCCAAAGTAGCAGTTTACACCAGTGTAAATCATTCAGAAAGCAATGAAACATGAGTGACTTATTCACTACCTGACTTTATTTGTTACAGTGTAGAAGAACCACCAGTAAAATTCTGGAAAGAACTCTCCACAGAAAGGAGAAAAAGGCCAGCATTGAACTGGTGACAATGATCACTCCACCTCCCATTTGTAACTTTTCTTGAGGAGATGCATATTTCAGCTGTGCTTTGTGACCACTTCATAAAAAGCAGCATAACATTACAGAATTCCCCTCCCTTTTGCAGGACAGCAAATGTGTTTGTGAGCATGTAGGAAATGCATAGTCTAAAAAAGGCTTTGGATTTTTTCTTGACAGAAGTCTACTTTCATTGCCTTTGTAAATCATTATTTATTGTCAGCTTTCTACACTAGCAGCTTTTCTGAGGGAACCTAGGAATCTCACTGGAGAACAATGAGAAATGATACTTTTGTAAGGGTGAAGGACAATCCTTTTATGCAGCCACCAAAAATGCAAACAGGAAACACTACTGAAACTTGGCTCCTCTTCTTTTTGGTTCCGATTCCAGAATCAGCAAATCTTTATAAAGACGAGCAGCTTCAGTAATGATATTTCCATAAATTGATAATAAAAAGACTCCTCTAAATGTCAGTGAGGGGTTATGGAGTTGGATCCCTCAGGAAAAAGGAAGTCAAGGAGGAGGAGTGAGTAGGGAGGAGGAAAGAGAAAGTAAAAATAAATAAATATACAACGCATCTGTAGAAAAACAGGATAGGCTGAAACAAAAGTCTCTGCCCAAACCACACAACTTTAAGGTATCTATTTTTCCTTCCTCTTAGTCATGCTTTGCAAGAGTTTTATGATCATGGAATGATACTGCTGTGAAAGATGAATGCCTTTACACTTTTCAGTTCAGTTGATTAATAGAAACTATAAAAAAAAATCATTTTCATCTTATTTCCTTTAGCACAAAAGGAATCAAAAAGCACACTACTCACAATGAAGAACATGAAGTAGTCACATAAAATAGAGACCAAAATTCAGAAATATTGATAAATTAAAATGGTATTTACATGTAAATGTTTTATCTTACATGTAAGCTATTTTTCTAAGCCCCAGTGGTGTCAGTCAGGCCCACACAGGCCTACACAATCATTTCAAGTTACTATCTCAAGGGATAAGAAGCAAATCACAGATACTAACAAGTTTGAGGAGTAAAACTGCAAACTGGTGAAAAATAGCACAATCAGAGATGTACGCACTTTTCGTCACTTCACAGACATATGTATGCACCTGGATCTAACACCAAGCAGTACAAAAATTAATAACATTTAACTTCAAAGAAGAATTTCAAAACATTATAAATACCAAAGGATTATGTGTTAACACTACAACAGGTAGTGAACAAACCTTAGTTGCTTTCTTGACTGTCCTCCCTCACACAATGCAACGAGGAAAACTATACTTCCTTGCCTAAATTCAACCCTTCCATTTTTATAAGCAGTCTGAACAAGAACCAAAGTGAATCAGAAGTTACATGAGAATTCAAATCATGCATTAAAAACAAGTGCTGACAAAATAACTGCATGCATTCATATCCTCTCCTCCACATGCTTTACTTCTGCTTACAAGGAAAACCAGCAGGAAGCACAGAATAAGTCTACACAGCATTATGAACCACGCTGAAGTAGGACAGAGAAACTGTAATACAAAAGGCAAGTCCTCGAGATACCCTGCTCACAGAACTCAGTTTGATACAATCAGAGTCAAGAGAAAAGTCACCTGAATTTGCAGTTCCAGTCCAGCTGCCAAGTCACAGTGCAGAAGGTTTTATGATCTGCAAGTTTCTGTTCCTTAGGTCATCTCCTCCATAAATGGCACTAGGTTTATAAACGAAAAAAAATTCAGGCATATTGGAGAAATAACTGCCTAAGCAACAGTGCTGTTTACTCATAATTGCCAATTGCTGTACCTCCTGCACACAGTATAAGAATGAAACGGATGTTCGGATTCTCAATTATACCAGAAACATCTATTCTCTCATCTACTACATTATCACTTCATCTGTGGAAAGAAGCCTCATTCAGCAACAGTTGCAGTTCCTTCATCCTCATGGGCTTGTGGGTCTCAAGTAGCTGCACAAACAGGTGACTCCTTGCACAATAATTAGACAACCACATGTTCTTCAGGCATGGCAATATTTCAGGCCTAGCTGTAATGTACTCCTTAGTTTAAGGCTCCTTTTCAATCTGTTTGTCTACAAGATGAGCTAAAGATGCCCTGTGCAGAACCAAAGATTACCAGGGACTTGAGACTGTATTCACATCTAATTTAGGGATTCTGTTTGGTGCAAAAATATTTTACACTCATGGTGTCTCTGCTCTTATCAGCATTAATACTGATACTGTCCTAAATGGACACAGAGTCACAGGAAAGAAAATACAGCACAGCATTCTAATTACACTCTGATTTCTTCTTTAGACTCTGCTTTAAGAATGTGAAGTTCGTTGAAAAAAAAACAAAATTCTGTGAAAAAACACGGCCAACCACCTAAATTACTAGTGCTTGAAAGATTTTTAAAGCTAGAAGATAAAAGCAACGTCCAGAGTCAACAGGAAGGGTCTTGCTGGCCACTGCTTGGCCTTCATTGTTTTTCACTGGAGAAATAAAGCTCCTTTTTTTTTCCCCCCCCCCCCCCCCCTCAAAAATGTGGAACCACCTGGGATACCTTCCCAGTGAATAACTGCCATTCTCTAATGAATATTACCACTTAGAAACTTATGTTGTTTTTATACATTATCAGTTGCAAGGAAATTTGATTCTCCTAAATATAACAGAGCCAAATCAAATCAAGTGCTTTTTTTTTTCCCCACAAAGTTAAAAAATTGAACATTTACCCAAATGAAGTACCTTAAAAGTCGTGTATGCTCATCTTAAATATGCACTATACTTAGCAATAAAACTGATGATAGAAGACAATATAATGGCTACCTCTCAAGTCAATCTTTCCATCGCTTGCTCCATCAGCAAATTACTTATTCTGCTTGGCAGAAGTTTTCCAAAATTATCTCATATATATGTAACAAAGATAGGCAAAAACCTGCTACAGCAAGCTAAGTTTCCAATAATCCAGAGAAAAAAAAAAATTCCCTGTATATAAGCAATTAGATTTCCTTGGCACTAGAAGCCATTACTAAAGATAAAAGACCTAGCACTTGTAGGATGGTTTGATTTTCTAGCGTTAATTAGTGGAGTTTTTGCCCCTTACAAATATTAGGGTTGGAGCATCCTTAATTAATTCTCATCTTCTTGCCGTTTGAGATGCAATCTGAAAATAAAACAAAGTATGAAAGCTATTGATAAATCTTTTAAAACCTATGTTAATGCTCTTTCTGCTTACCTAAGTATAGTATATTGCAGTTAATGATGTGGTCACAACAATGACCAACACCTACCCACCTCTGAAGGGCTACTTACTACGTCAGCTGTGCAAGCACCTCCGTTACTGCAGGCCAGACATCCTTAATTGCACCCTGGATTCAGCTAGCAGAGTAGTTGTAGTAGGCAAGGGGTCATTAAACAAACATTTATTTATGTCTTAAGCAGTTTCTGTAGGCTGCAGTACCTTCCACAGATACACAGCTGGCAAAGCCCGAACGTCAGTTGTATTTGTATAAGCTCTATTAGGGCTGCTGTGCAGATATACCCCTTGCAAAACAGCAAAAATTTATGGAACAACCTTCTAAGGAAGGTAAATATCATCTGCTTGAATAATTCATAAGCAACATCTTAAAAGGAAGCATTTCCATAATGAAAGCAAACAAACTGGAGAAGAAAAGACTGCTATTTAAAATAAAAGCTAAGCAGTCAGAGTTATTCTACTTGTGAAACAAGTAACAGTTTTCTTTCCCCTGAGGAGCAGAAGTGATATGAGTAACTTCTGCCTACTGCATTAATCGACACAGAGATTATTTATTCAGAAGGATCAAGTAGGTGCTAAAGAAATGCTAAGCAATCACAAATTAAAGTGGCTGTACTCTGGAAAGAAAAGAACAACCCATTTGCATGGTTAGCTGAAACACAACACTTTGCCAATAGTAAGATAAGATTTAGCAGAAAGTCAGTTGGCACAAGATTCAAGGACTTAATTACTCATTCATTTAAATAAATATAAGAAACTCTTCAGTCATCCATCTATTCAGCCCTTTCCAGTTTAAAGCAGTCACATGAGAAGACATGAGAGGTCATACATCACGTCTCTCTTGGGCAAGATTTCCATTTTTCTCAATTAAAACTTCCACCCTTTGGGGAATTTGTTAGTATTGGTCTGAATCACTCTGGGACTTCAACATCTAGCCACCTGCAAACAGCAAAACATTTTGTATTATTCCTGCAAGCTTTTCTCCTCACTGTATTCAAGACAACAGGTTAAACAGGTAGAAATGTCTGCAAAGAGTCTGTAAATACTCAAACAGGATTGGCAGGAATAGCTGTGTACCTTGTTCAGAGATGGCAGCTCCCAGCTTAGGATAATTATGTAAACCTTTTTTTTTTTTTCCTTCCACAAGATGCCTTTCTATGGAGAAGAAAAACGAAAAGCCTTGGTCTGGTTTGCAGTTCTCAGTCTTCCACATGTGCTATTTTTGCCCTTTGGTTTAAAGGACAATGCATTGCTACAACCTGGGAGCAGAGACTGCATCACCACTTTTAGGTGACTGTTTACACTAGGAAAAAAGTAAAACAAACAGAAACTCCAAGAAAGATTACATGTTTGCATATAGGTAACTATGGAAAGTGCTTGAGGGCAACAAATACATTACATAAATGAAAATTAATTTTAAAAATAGAGACAAAAACATTGAGGAGCTAAATTCATTGCATAGTTTATTTGCAACAGACTAGGTAACCAGCTCTAACTGCAATTACATCTGAAAAATCAGAAAGAAACCAATTAAATTAGGAGTTCCCAATCCCGTGACAGCAACAGTGCAGAAAGCTTTAAAATCTGAGACCAATTCTAAGAAATATGCCTATGATTTAAGTAAATAAACTATTTTCTCAATATAAAAGTTGGAAAGGCTCATGTTTTTCTAAACATAAGCCATAAACATTAGAAAGCGTAAGAAATATGGTGTAAAAGAACAAGTCCAGAAGATATTTTTACTCTGCTGCATAGAAAACTTAGCTGAACCAGGAGAGAAAGGAAGCAGATGCAGCTACTTATTCCTACTGAGGGTTCTCTGCTTTTCAGCATGCTCCACAATTTTTTCTTCTACATAAAGTCCCTTTCGCTTTCTCACTGCATTCATGTACTTGCGGGCCTGGTTCTCAGAGTCTGCCTTTTCCCCAAAGTGCAAATATTCTTCTTCAGTGGTTGGTACCCAGAATGGATCACTTGAAATGATCTATAAAAAGAGAGGGGAAAAAAATAATAAAGCAGCATAAAGGTTTCCAAGTATTCTTAGTACATTTCAGGTAATTCTCATCTCTAAAGTACACAGATGAAGACAGAGTGGATAGTTTTCTGGACAGTTTATTAGCTACTTAAGCACAATACATGAACTAGGAACACCATGTAGCGTTCATCACAGAAAGCATAGGACAGATTTTGAAATTCAGTTGTATTTATCTATGTACAAATTTATTTTAAAACAAATTTAATGGCCAGTTGGTAACAGCAACAGATCACATTTATAGAATTTTTAGTTTTGAAAAAGGAATTCCTTCTTTAGAATATTATGTCACCACGATCTTATCAGAATTTATAAGAACTGAATGTTTCTGACTGTAGATTTCCTCCCTAGATGCAGCTGTAGGTAATATTTTACCAAAAGAAGAACAGAAACGCTGCATCCATTAGTTAACCAAAACCTCATGGGAGAAGGAGCACAGTGCATGTTAGTTACTGTGAGAACAGTGATAGTTATGGCAATAATTGAGAACATCACTCCATGATCATTTCTGAAGTCTAATATTAGCACTGACAAGGACAGAAAAAAACTTCCCTACATTCTGACTTAGTGTAATAAACCATTTATTCTGACAAATACTTTTAATTGCCGTATGCTATTTCAAGCCAAACAAAATTACCTAAAGCTCATCTAAGTGACATAAATCAGAAAGAAGGAAATGCAAAAAAAAAAAAAAAAAAAGTTGGGTTAGGACAAAGATTTTTCCTAGAAATAACAAACACCAAATTTTTTACTTCGGATGCTAAATAACACCTAGCACTATGAATGGAATTACATATACAGTATATAGAAAGTTAGGACAATAACTACAGTACATAGCCTGCCCCAATAGTAATGCCTCCTATTTATTTCCACAGAGACCTCATCAGATACGAAGAACACAGTAACACATTGTGTTCCTCAACAGAGCACATTCTCAGCTACAGAACAGTATTCCTCAACGCAGTCTCTGCTGCCATCTGTTACATGGCAACAACATGTTGCAGAATATTGCTGGGAAGGTTCAATCTCTGCTGCCATACCACCAACATCCAACACTGACCTCACGAGCCAGTATCATAAAACAGGAAGCATTACTTTTGGAGCAGTCCTCATAGAAGAAGGCTACTTTTTATTAGGAAACATCGCAGGTTAAATCCTGCAAAATAGAATGTTAAGCCTCTAAGTTAAAACAAGCAAACAAACAAAAAAAGCATACTAACTTGCTACAGTTAAGTACATATATAGTCCTGGTAAATTAAATGGGATATCATTCATATGCTAAAATAAACCTGCAGCCTCACTTATTTAGGTGGGAAATGAACGTACATAAAGTTGTCGAGCTGAAAACAAAGGCAAGCAGAACTCATAAATAAATGGTACGAAATTTTGGTTTCCAAATGTTTCTGCATTTATTTTTAACATACAAATAAGAGTTGTCTAAGCATAGAAGAATCCACATGAGCTATACCCATTCTGATGTCTTATACAGGGCCTTTCTACCAGTGCCTTGAAACTTCAAGGCAGCTCCTTGACAGTATATGCCAGTAAACAGAAAGTAAGGGGGCACCATCATGCACTTGAAATAAAGATAAGGACAGTGAAAATTGCTGGGTTTTTTTGTTTGGTTGGTTTTCCTCCCAGCTTCTGGGCAAACACGCATGCTGACTGGATCAGGTTGTTGTGATGTTCATACTAATCATCATCATGCTGGAAAAACACCAGAGACTTCCCCCAGTCAGGACCTATCTAAAGCGCCAAACAAATGAAAATGTCCAAGTTCAAGAAGAAACACAGGAATGAGAAGTGACTCACACTCAATAGACATGCTCCAGAGCTACTGCCAAGGGAGAGCACGCAGCTACAAACTATACCAACTTAAAAGGCTGTTACTATTCCCTTTGATTAAGTTCTTTCATATCAGCAAGTTACCTAACTCCCAAATTACATTCTGAGAGAAACAATGAACAGTGGTTCCTAAAGAGAAGTGAAAATACACTCAAGACTGAACTTACACATCTAACGTACCACTGCACTGTGCAGAGCAGAACTGGGAAAGAGATCAAAATTAGGTTTTGAAAGCCACATCAGTACCTGCAGGAACTGCCTTTGCATCTCATCACGTCTAAATAGCTCTGGTATTACATTCTGCTTCTGGAGCAAGTTATGGAGGCACTTGAGAATTCCTCTTTCTGAGGATCGTACCCAAGTGAATGGTTTGGACATATGGCAGAAGATGTGGTTAATTAGACACACAGTGTTTGTAGTAAACACCAGGACAAATAAAGAGAAAGGAAGATCTACTGAGTCAACTGGAAATGGAGGCATCAGTTGTGCCCTTCCTTTAAGAAGTCAGCAAATAGCCATGTTAATATAACTCTAGCATTAACTGCACAGAGGTGTTATTGACACAGTAATTAAAAAAAAAAAAAAGGAAATTTTCTGATTCTTTAGTTCTGACTCAGTAAGTGAAGCTGAGGACAAGAGTAGACTACACATCACATTAATAGATCAAAGGAGATGCACCTAGCAGTTGGCATCCACTATTCCCCACATTCTGTACATATGCTGCAAGAAGGCAAAAAAAAAAAAACCAAAAAAAACAACAATAAATACGTTTCCCTCTCATGCTCCATGATTGTTGAATTTAATTTGCTTACAACAGTAGCTGGCAGAACCGTGTGTCTGGGCTTCCTGGAATCAGAACTGAGAAGTTTTTAACCCTTGAACTATTGTTTGTATTCGTGGGAACCATGTAGAGAAGACTCTGGAATCCATGACAGAAATCATGTTTTTGTCTGGGTAGAGTCCTAAATAATTAATAAGATTCTAAATGTACCCATCCTTCTGGAGTGAGATGCAGCCATTTAACAGAGAGCATTTACTGTGTGCTCTGGAAGCTCCATGGGATAAAATAGAAAATAAAGCATAAAACTAATGAAACAACAGAATCATTAAATACAGGCTGATGAATATGTTCCATAGCTCACTGCAGAACTGCAAACCAATTCTAGGTATAAAAGAAGAAGTGTTTAAAATGAAATCAGTAAGGATTAGACACTTCAAAAGAAGATTAGATTACTCCAAATACTTTAAGTGTAGAGTTATTCCTGAGAAAAAAATAAGTAACTCCAAAGCAAGACGTTTCATTAAACATCACAACTATTCAAACTAACACACCCAGAGAGCAATGTCTCCCAAGACTTGTTTAGTAACAGCATGCAGAGTAACATGGGCAAGACAGCTGTCGTTTTCTTTTAGCCTA